ACCACTTATTAAATGTCTACATACATTGACACATTCATTTGCATGCTAATTATCATACCACTTATTAAATGTCTACATACATTGACACATTCATACATACTCAATATTAATGAGGACTTTTACGAACAGATAATGTTTATATACACAAATTTGCTACAATTTCTTAGAATTTTATTTCTAGGTCATATTTTTTAACAAAATAGGTTCTAAGTCAAATCTCATATAAATCTAATCTATACACAACTTCCATCTTACAAAATCTTACCAAATCCTACAAAAAAAATTAAAAAACAGGAGGAAATGGAAACTATGTGATTCAAAGAGATTAGTAAAAGCATGTTTTTGTTTGTAAGGTAGTAGGATACTTTTTCACTATATTTCAGAAAATGTCACCCTTCATCACATATGTTGATACAAAAAACTTTAATAAGTTGGAGAAAATCAAACCAACATTCCTTTCATTTAAAGATGCTTCTGCTTTGGATATTGCGAAAATGTCTTTTGGTAAGATTTTAAAAAAAATTATGATGTAAAAATATCTACATATTAATAATCACTAAAAAGCTCTTTATTGCAGATGTTGTTAGATTCGTAATAACTGTGAAGCCAATATTTAGCAACCCCACTTCCAAAAGAAGGGATGTCATAATTATGAATAAAGAGTAAGAATTTAATATTATTGCTTATTATTATGTACGGACTTTGGTAAAAAAAAACTAATATTTTTTATTTATTTTAGGTTTTATCAACTTTCGGTGACACTATGGGGCAATTTAGCGGAGATTGAAGGATCATCTTTGGAGGATTTGAAAGATGCGAAACCCGTTGTTGCATTGCTAAGCGTAATTGGTAGACGTTATTTATGTAAAAAGAAATAACGACAAGTATGGTTTTAAAATGATGTGAAAATCTTTTAATTTCACGTTTGTTTTATTTTTAGGTGAGTTTCAATTATCTACATAGCCATCAACTATTGTGCTTGTGAATCCTGAAATTCCACAATGTAGATAAATGATAGACTGGTGTGCAAGTTTTATCTCTTTTATTTCAAAGTTTTATAATGAGTTTTTCGATATATACCCCTCAAATTATAGGTAACTTTAAAATTACATCCTACATTATTGTTCTTGCAAATCTATCCTAAAAAAAATAGTTATATCATTTACCTTTACAACTTTTCTTAACTAACAAAAATTCTTGATAGAATATTTTCTTGAATTAATTAGATGTTACTAAAAAGTTAATATATTATTTAATAAATAAAACATCATGTCTAGAAGCTGAATTGTATTGTAGACATTGAAAAATTAAGTCCACGTCTAGAAATTTAATTATATTTCTAATAGAGGCTTGAACCATCGGAAATAACTTTTTTTCATAAATATTAGTTTTGAGCATAACAACAAATAACAGTTGGAAAAGATTTCATGCTCAGTAAAGAGATTGATTGCCAGATAAATAATCCATATGGTGTAGTTGCACGCGAAATATGGTATTTGTTGGTGAGTCTGACATCTACGTCAATATTAAAACGAATTTTCTCAGGTTATTTTAATATTTTTTTAGCCATTGATATTAAAATTTTAACATTATTTTATCTTAAAAAAGTATTAAAGCTAATATTAAAACACGTTATCTCAACCATATAGATTTTATCGTGTGATATTTCAATAATTTAATTAAAATATCCTTGGAATAGTAATAACAACCATAATACAAAGAGAACAATAATACTTGAAGAACAAAACATGGTTAAAATTTGTTCAATGATTATTTGGGTATAATACAAAGAGAACAATAATACTTGAAGAACAAAACATGGTTAAAATTTGTTCAATGATTATTTGGGTATTTCTTTCTTAATATATAAACAAGAATATAATGTTAATTCTGTCATAAAAATAAATACACGTGCAACGCACATGCACCATTCTAGTACTATTATAAAAATGGATTGATATGTTAAAACATTTCTTCCCAAAATGCCCTCTAAAACACATACATGCATACATAAAACATATGCATACATTATTTTTGCAAAAAATTTACATACATACATAAAATGCATACATTAAAGCAAACATCTATACATTAAAGCACCCCTTCAGATGCTTCTCATAATTATTCGTCGGTTTTATAACTCCCCATTAACCCTCCTCAATACCAATATTAACAACAAATTAAACCCACCCTTTCAGATCCCATCACATATAACTTTTGTACAACCATCCTCCTATATATTATTAACCTCTCAAAGCTCCCAGCGACAACTCAATAAATCCATCAAAAAACCACCTCAATATGTAGGTAAAAGCAAACCTTGAGGATTGTTTAACATGCTCAAGTATAGAACTGGTTGCTGGGTCATTCCACTATAATTGTCATCATGTGGTGGGAATGGTGAGAAAGTATGAGGAGATGAAGTGAAAGATTGAGGTTGATAAGACATAAAGTTCATGTTAATGCCAGCTGAAGTATTTAGTATTGCATTTGAAGGAGATGAAGCATTTTGTTTTTCTACACCGTTCTTAGCCATAGCTATATATATTGTAAACCATGGATATATCATTTTTAAAGGAATATAAAACAATAATATATGTTAGTCATGAATTTTTAATACAATTTAAAAAATAATATATGATAATCGTGCATTTTTTGGGTAATTTAAAAAAATAATATATGCAGATAGTCATGCATTTTTAATACAATCTAAAAACACCGTGAAGAGTTGCAAACATTAAAAGTCATAGTAAAATATCATAGATAGTTGCAAGCAAAGTCTCATACAGTATAATTAATTCAAAACTATAAATATGTCATATTACATTACATAAGTAGCATAATAAAATCGAGTAAGCAACAAACAACAACTCAATTTAAGCCATTTTCCATTATATTACCACCCTTTGCACAATAATCCAATCTTATTGCCTAAGCAGTTTGGTCCCTAAGCTTCTTCCATTCATTTCTTACATCTCGATCCTCTCTTTGTGTCCTAATTTGAGTATAGTCCACTATAGTTGAATTATCTTCATTTGTCAGTTCCACTTCATCAATAGCTACATTCTTTTAAAATATCATCATCTAGATCTTCTAGGACAATAAAATTATGCAACATGATACACGCTAACACAATGTCCACTTAAGTGGGAAAGGAATAATTAGGCTTTGCAGAGAGAATCTTAAACTGGTTTTTCAAGATACTAAATGTGCATTCAATTTTTAATCTTAGAGATAAGTGCCTTAAATTGAATAACTCTTTTCAAATATTTGTTGTCCTACGGATGTGTTCTTTTAAATGACATCATACATCATGATACGGGGATATGAAGCTAGGCATATGATGTATCCAGCGTCACATATGTAATATTACCCTACATTAAATACAACAGTGATTTATGAACTCATTTATATATAAGTATTTAATTTACTATTCAAAACACATATAGATGGAAAAATACCATCATTAACTCTCAGTCCGTAAGACTGGGGTCTCAACAAAGCATCTTGTAATATCCTAAGTCATTTGCTGCTCCCTCCCACCCAGCTAGTATATATGTGAATAGTTTATTAGGGATGCATGCTACTAAGACGTTTTGTGTCATACCTTTGTACCCTCTAAACCATGCAACTAGGTTTTTGGGTAACACTGCATCGATGTGTGTACTATCTATCATACCAATGCAATCCTACAAAAAATTATATATTATAAAATATTCAATAAAATATTTAATCATTTAATTGAAAATTTAAGGTGAGAATTTTTTTTACCTTGAAGTAAGGAAACTAGTTTGAATTGTTTGCAATCTCTGGAGGAATTTCATTAGGAGCTTGCTTCATGTGGCGATCACGTAACCTATTCATGGCTTGTAGGACTCTATTAAAATAATACTAATGGAGGGAGGAGGATTCTAGGGTTTCTCAATGGAGAAATCCATAAAAGGGGAAGAATCATAGGGGGTGTGAACCAAACATAGTTTTAGGATACTAGCAGAAGAATTTATTTACAAAAATACATCTGTCATGTGGGAATCCTATTCCTAAGGTTAATTTTGGGTGAAGCAAATAGCCCCATACTCTAGGGCCATCCTTGTGATTTCACCGTACATTAGGATGTATGAATATAATTAATCCATTTTTATTTTAAAGTGATAAAATACTCTATATTTATTAAAATCATAATTTTTAACTTCTGTTTATGCAAAAAAAAAGTTTGGCTAAATATCATCCCCCCCCTAAAACAACACCCCCAAGGTTAAAAAAAACTTAAAATAACAAAATGAGTCAATGGAGGTAAAAAAGGTAAATTTTTGTTAACTTTTTGGAATTTTTTGTCACAAAAAACTTTAGGGTATTAAAATTAAATAATGTAGACTTTGGGAGTATTTAAGTGCAAATAACCCCAAAATAAAAGTACTAATAAAGATCAATATCTTTACCACATTCATCACTCTGAATTGGTAAAAATTTGACAACTCCTCTATTTTTTTTATTTTTTACAATTGAGTATGATGATTACCAATAAAGATTATAGATAATCAATCTTATCCTCCATTTATAAAAAAAAAGAAAAGAAAAAAAAAAGAAAAGGAGTACATGTGACGGGTTCAATTAACAAATGGGAAAACTCAGCAGGCGGATACGGGCCAAGGAGAGACCCACGTGACGTGGTCCACACCCCCACTCGAAAGACGGAGCGATCCCCGATTATCTCAGACACACAGACGTGTCGAAATCCCAAGGCCTATCTGTACGGACGTAGCGTGCACAAGGAGCCAAAACCATTGCCATTTTCTCGTACGAGGGCGGCCCCACAGCCCCCCCCCAAAAAAAAAGCATTGTTGGTTTTGTTTCTGCGCTGTATCTCTGACATAACAGTAAATTTTTCCTAGTATTTAAAAAAAAAGAGATATTTGGATATAATAATTATAAAGAGAATCAAACCATAACGAGGCTAGCCAATCAGAGCCCTGGATCCCTCAGCCTTTTACTTTGCCTCTTTCCTTACCTTGTTTTATGCTTTTGTTATATTTTCTCTCTGGAGGTCTCTCCTCAGGTGAAAAGACGAATAAGGAAAGAGGGAGGGTTTGGGGTTTTGGGGGTTCCTCATTATAACTTCCCACAAAAATCCCACCCTCAGCTGTTCAATTTTGGCTCTTTGTCTTGTTTCCATTTCTGGTTAGATCATCTGTTACTTTATTTGCTTGTTTTGTTCTTGTTCTCGGCCGATTTGATTAGTTATTTCTTTTTTGGTTAATTTTTTCTTAGAGGAGGAGAAAAAAATGGTGAGGGGAAAAACTGAGATGAGGAGGATAGAGAACGCGACGAGCAGGCAAGTGACGTTCTCGAAGAGGAGGAGCGGGCTCTTGAAGAAGGCGTTCGAGCTCTCCGTTCTCTGCGATGCCGAGGTCGGACTAATCGTCTTCTCGCCTCGAGGAAAGCTCTACGAGTTCTCCAGCGCCAGGTTATCTCTCTCCCTATCTCTCTCTCCTCGTCCTCATTGCTATTCAAAAATTCTAAATTTCTGCGAGCTTTTTGCTCACCTCCAAACCCTACCGACCGCGCTTATTTGAGCTTCTTGTCTGGCGAAGTTTTTATTTAGTTCTATTCCCCTATTCAAGCTCCACATGCCTCAGGTGATTCACAATTTCTTCCTCCTTCATTTCCTTTTATTGCGAGAAAGAATGAAAACATAAAATAAATGAGTTCTTTGAGATATTAATTAAATTTTGCCTCAAAAAAAGGGGAAACAAATCTCTATTCACTGTATTTTATCGAGAAACGTTGAGAACCTAGAGAGGTCAGTGAGGCGACGAGGAGACAGATTTTACTTGTTCGGTGCAATATTGAGATACCAAACACACCATAGTACTAGAGTGAACAGCTAACGAATAATTATGTATCAAATGTAATTTCGCTTAATTTGTTAGAATTTTTTAAAATCTTTATTAGGATAACTGGACAGTTAGCAAGTACACTGTGTCTAATGAAAAACCAAAGTGATATCATGACAAAGATAAAATCTTAAATGTAATTGTATATAGCCATGATACTGCTGGCTAACTGCAACAGACTTCCAGACAACTAGTACTTTGTATCATGTGATATGGTAGAATCTGTACTAAACCTGTTTTATCTTTACTGTCCTAAGTAGTAATTGAGTAATTTCAAAAAAAAAAAAAAATTCTATTTCAAGATTTTTTTACTAATTTAAACTGTGTATCTTACCACTATCATTTTCCAATGCAATATGGGTTGGACAAAGAAAGTAACTACATTGCTTTGAGCATCAGCTCTGTGGAACTTTGTCAGTTTAATTATCATATTGGTAATCATTTCCAATTACTGTTCTTAGTTTTTTTTTTTTTTTTTGACTTTAACGTATGTCATTGATTTTCTTAGCTGAGAGAGACTACAAACTTGCTTGTGGAAAAGAGACATCAGCTTAGCCTATTGTCCTAATTCATAGGGTCTACTTCTGGGTTCATATCCTAAGCATCTGGTCTTAAATTTTCATGGGTATTCCAAACAGTCAAATTGCCTGATAGGGTTCTGAAGGTTGTATTTTGCATGTACAGTCGCAGCATACTCATTTTCATAAAATATTTTAGTAAAGAAGAAACCCTTCATTTGTACGAACGTGCTGTTACTGTTAGGTCTTAGTCAATTCTCAGGCACTGCCTGAATATTTTGATAGTCCCCAATCGAAGTGTTTCATAATCTATGCAGTATTTTGTTGATGCATGTTGCAAGTTTATTTGAATCATGCTAGTGATAGTTTTCATCCAATGTAAGTTATGTTAATGCAAAATAAGTAATGCTAATTCAAAACACTAGAAGGGTAATATTCTGTTTTGTGTCCGACATTAGTTTATCAGTACCATGCATAACATTTAAAAAAAAAACATCGTAAAACTAAACCAATGAGTTAGACCATGAGAAATGAGGGGAATAGAGAATACATCAAGTGCGGGATGAAATTAAAGATGAACCCCTCATTCAGGACTACTTCATTGCTATGGACATCACATCATCCATAAGTGACTACTGCAATTGCTCTTGTTTATAGCTTTGTGATATCACATTGTCATGTTAAAAGTTTACTTGGTTTTTTTACTCTGGTCCGGTTATGGAGTGATAAGCTGATAACACCATGTTCTTGAATGAATTTCTAGCATGCAAACTGGTTGTCTAAAACCAGCACAAAGAGGAAATTAGCTTCTTATATTTCAAGGAAAAAGCCATTAAATTTTTATTCATTTGATATTTTAAGATAATCATTATCATTTGCTAGAGCCTAGAATTGACATACATAAGAAAGATGAAAAACTACTTATTCCTTTCAAGTTGTTCTATATCAAGGATTCTCGTGCTGAATTGTGACGCGAAACCGCTGAAATGGAACAAGGTTTGTTGAGCTTTAAGAGTAGTGATCTTTAAGCCCATTGTACTGGTCATTTTTCTTAACTACTAGATCATGATATCTTCTCCCTTCCAATTAATCATTGTGAATTTAAGTAGCTGCAAACTTCTTTGAGTTTTCATGGCGTACTCATAATAAGATACATAACTACAAGAATAGGTTGATCATGGTAAACGATACAATTCTGAAGTACAAGAAATATTTGTTTTTGAAGAAAATTACAAGAAATATTGCAAACAACTGTTCCTTCTTGATTGGTAATTATATTGTGAAAGTTTGATTTTGTGTTTAAAGAATCAGTTTCCTTTGCTTGGCCATAACTTCTGCATCTGCGGCTTCTTCTCATTCTCAAATTTTCTTCTCAGTTCAATTTCGGAACAATAAGTATGCATTATGGTCTTTCTGTTTTTAGTGTATATCAGTGATCTTTAAACTTTATCCCTTTTTCTAACCTATCAGGTCCGCAGTCAAATAATCCCTGCAATATCTATTCTTCTAAGTTACACTGAGCTTCGGCTCATTTTCATTCACTTGACCAATCCTATCCTTCAATCTTCGAACCATTTTATTCTTCATGATTTGTTTCCTTCTAAGTTATTCAATATTTCTTTTAGACATCACTTGCAAAGTTGCTTGTAAACCTTAGTTTAATCTAACAAAAGGTCACCCAAATCTATTTCATATTGTTTTGCTAAATATTAATTTCAGTACCATGACTACTGAGAATGTTATTCTTGTTGTTAGGACTTATTTTGTATGAGACAATATGGACACAAACATGGAACATGACAATTTTAAAAAAGTTTGGTGTTAGATCTACGTTACCTGGGTACTTCTATTAGGAAGCCGTACCTTGGACACTTCTTGAATATCTACATCTGCTTATTCGGATGTATACTCAATTATATAATATATGTTTTAATTTAAAGCACTCCTCAATACACTTTTTGGATGTATATTATACACTTCACATCTATTTCTTATATATTGATTTTATGTAAATAAAAAATATTAATCTTATATAGATTATTAATTTTAATATATATAAATGTACATAACATGTATATATATATAGCTGTGTCCCCCTCGTACCCTACCTTTTACAAAATTTTCATGTCTGTACCCATACCCGTACCCCTACTCCTACCCATGCAACCTAGTGTTATATATTATTGGTAATTGTGGATGTAATAGATATTATGAGATATTATGAGATGCGATTAGATATAATTTTATCTCATACTAATTTTGTAATATCTTTCTAACCTTTATTTAACAGAGGAGAATGTTAGATAGAATAAGAACTTTGCATTTGCTATTTGTCTAAATGGTATCAGAGACGACTCGATTATAACTTCTCTCATCTTTCTAGATCTCAAAGTCATTGAGATGATTTTGCATGGCCTTCATGCCCCCCTCGGTGGCTACATCTTTGACGACTCTTTGGTTTTGACAATAACTTTATCTTCAGCATCACAATTTTCTAAATCTTCATAGAAACCCTCCACAAAAAAATTCCCGGCTAAAAAATATTGTCTATTGTTCATTAAGGTACTGTTCACGCGATAATCAAAAACATTGTGTACTGTTCACCGTGATAAACACTACCAACCTTACTGCTTGCGTGCCATCATCGTTTGGCGATTATTTTTAATGACATTGCTCCTCTTTCGACGTTGTCTTTACTTATTTACCCTTCTATGGTTTCTGCTGGCTGTAAGTGTTGTGCACGGAAGCCACTTGTTGTGCGCCGAGTAACCAAACCAAACATCGAGAGAGAATGTAACTTAAATCAAATAATAATGGCACAAACTCAAACACAAAGTTTAACATAGTTCAGTAAATTGCTTACGTTCACGGGACAAGAAGGGAAGGGATTTTCACTATAGAGAAAGAGAGTACAAAATAGAGATTACAAGATCACTCAAACTAACCTCTCAAAGAAAACCCTCAAATCTCTTACAAAACCCACAAACAATTTGCTCAGAAAATAACTCTCTTTTCTGTGCTCAAAACTCTCATTCAAGCTACCCCAAAAGTGATCAATATGATCCAATAAATCCTAAACAAATCATGTTTCTATTTATATAAAACAGGAAACCTAAACAGTGCAGGAAACCGAAGCAGGCCCAGACCCGACTCACGGTCGACCGTCGAACCCATCGCAGTCGACCGTCGAACCCATCGTGGTCGATCGGATCCAACGACCGAAACCAAAAAACACTACATGGTTTTGCCAGTCGACCGTCGCGCCACTTGCGGTCGATCGTGAAAAGTCCAGAGACTTTCCCTATGCTGTGCACGTTCACGATCTACCGTAGCACCACTCGTGGTTGACCGTGCATGCTCGTGGTTGACTCGTGGTTGTTCGTGCCATTAAACTTCTTCACATCTATCTTCGTAGAGTGGATATTCAAATTTTGAATGGTCTTCATGCCAGAAGCACCATCCTTAACACCCGAAGTACCTTCTTTCCCAGTCATCTTCCTCAACACACCAACAATCAATGCGGAACAAACTGAAGAATAGATACAAAACTGAGATAAGATATAATTTTTACCAAAAAGATCCTACCTTTAACTCCAAACGAAGCCCTAGTCGAACTTCTAAAGTGATCTACTCCTTCAAATAGCTCAAGCATACCCGAGCTCTGATACCACTTGTACGCGGAAGCCACTTGTGCACCGAAGAACTAAACCAAACACCGAGAGAGAAGACAACTCAAATCAAACAATAATGACACAAACTCAAACATAAAGTTTAACATGGTTCAGTAAATTGTCTACGTCCACGGGACAAAAAGAAGAGGGGTTTTTACTATAGAGAAAGAGAGTACAAAATAGAGATTACAAGATCACTCAAACTAACCTCTCAAAGAAAACCCTCAAATCTCTCACAAAACCCACAAACAATTTGCTCAGAAAAGAACTCTCTTTTCTGTGCTCAAAACTCTCTTTCAAGCTACCCCAAAAGTGATCAATATAATCCAATAAATCCTAAACAAATCGTGTTCCTATTTATATAAAACAGGAAACTCAAAC